TCCTAAACCAGATCCTAAACCAGATCCTAAACCAGATCCTAAACCAGATCCTAAACCAGATACAAACCACATTCAATCTCCTTTTTCAGTTGCCTTGCCCTTCCACGAGTGGAACAACGAGGTACGTTTTTGGCATTTGTCATAAGCGGGTTTATACCCATCAGGCTTGTCCTGGGATCTCTGTGACTTCCCCTCTGGGTTAGGCCTGTGATGCCGTCCCGTTGGGGGAGATCAGCAACGTTGTCAAGAGACCCTGGGCCCGGTTCCCGGCTTGTATAATAAACTTCCCTGTTTGTTTAACAAAAAACAAAAAAAACAAATGCTGCCATTCAAAAACAATCCCAAGGGAAAAAAAAACAAAACAAAACAAGAAGCACCCACCTGTTCTCCTTTGCACTTCGCAGTTTTGACACCTCTTCAATTGGAGTGTTGTGGTAGCAGAGTGCCCCTTCCAGACACGAACACTCTGCTTTAGATCTGGTCTGGGATCTGGTCTGGGATCTGGTTCTGATCAGGTTTGATCTGGGTTGGATCTGGGTTGGATCTGGGCTGGAGCACCTCGTTCGAGCATCACCGTAGATCTTTCGAGCACCCATCAACTGTTGAAATTATGAAGTAAAATATAGACCTCAGTTCGAATCCCAATGGATTCAGATGAGTAAAATAAGTTTGAATAACGCTGAATTTACTATGTATGTGGAGTGATGCTCCCCAGAATGGATTGAAAAAAAAAAAAAAAAAAAAAAGGTTCAATTTACCTGCGAGCGGTCAGTTTGAAGATGTCTCAAGGCCGTTGCCCCTTTCAGAAAAAGAAGAGAAAAAAACTATGCCCAGGATCGGGTTTGGGACCTGTTTTAGGGTTTAGGGGGTTTAGGGATCTGGTTTGGGATCTGGTTTGGGATCTGGTTTGGGATCTGGTTTGAATCTGGTTTGGATCTGGTGTGGCCCCTGGTTTGGGCCCTGGTTTGGGCTCTGGTTTGAGCTCTGGGGTCCTTTTGAATCTGGTTTGGATATCGTCTGGGATCTGGCTTGGGATCGGGGTTTGAATGTTGTTTGTATTTGGTTGGAATCTGGTTTAGGATCTAGTTTAGGATCTGGTTTAGGATCTGGTTTAGGATCTGGTTTAGGATCCATCTTGTTGGATCTCTGGTTTGAATCTGGTTTGGGATCCGATTTTGGATCCGGTTTGGATCTGGTTTGTAAACTAGTTTGGATCTGCGGTTCAGGTTTTGATCTCTGGTGTGAATCTGGTCTAGATGTGGTTTACAAACCATTCAGGTTTTGATCTCTGGTGTGAATCTGGTCTAGATGCGGTTCAGGTTTTGATCTCTGGTGTGAATCTGGTCTAGATGTTTGGGAAACAGCGATCATACTATCATCATAGTGATGCGGGGAATGAAAATGGGAAAAAAGACTAAGTGGACATCAGATCCAAACTCTGTCCATCACCTCCATGGAGAACTACCGTCTTCCCCAAACACATTGCACCCTCATTATGGCTGTACGGAGTCAGAACAATAGCTTGTATAAAAAAAAAAAAAAGCTTGTATACATCCATAATGAGGATGCGTTGTGTTCGGGGGAAGATGGAAGTCCGTTGTAAAGTGTGTGATAGGTTGGTCCGTCACTTTGACAGTGAATGAGAAGACAGTGATTATGGTCCTTTTGTATAGTTTTTTTTTTTTAAAGATAGCTATGCTGCTGAATCAGAGGAGTGAAAAACCATAGCTATGGTGAAAAACAGATAAGTGAAAAACCATAGCCACATTAAAAAAAAAAAAAAAAAAAAAAGGAAGATAAAGATAGCTAATGGTGAAAAGGTCCCCAGAGAAAGGCCATGGTTTGGGGAGGTGGGACCCCCTGTTGCAGTCCCTTTCCCCCCCCTTGCTAGGCGACTAGTGCCACAATGCTTAAGCTAGGCTGTTCCCCCTTCTCTCAGACTGATCTGATCTCCCCCCTTCTCTGGATGTACAAACATGCTTGCTGGTGATAAGTAACCAGACTGTTGCCCCCCCCAGAATAGAAAGAGCCATTGTCTCCGCTCCCCCCCCCCCCCCCCCCACCACCAAAAAAAAAAAAGAAGAATAAGTCGAAGAAACGGAGCTGCAGTAAAAACCATAGCTATGAGCCTATGGTGAAACAGAGGAGTAAAAAATTACTAAATAGTAAAAACCATAGCCACCCACCAATAGATGGAGCCATATTTCTGTTTAAAAAAAAAAAAAAAGAAGAAAAAAAAAAAAGTCAACAAAGGCTGTAAAGCTTGACTGCCACTGGAGCACACATGCCGGTTCCCCATCTCGCCCTCTCGGCGGGAACGATCTTAATCACTGCTCAGTTACTGTAGTCCTGCGAGCCCCGTTTCCCTAAATTTACCATGAACATACCCAGAAGTTACCCTGAATTTACCCTGAATTTAACTGGAAGTTACCCTGAATTTACCCTGAATTTACGGTAAATTCACGGTAACTTCCGGGAAGTACCCTGAATGTGCCCGGAAGTTACCCTGAATTTACCCTGAATTTACCCTGAAATTCCTGAATTGACCTTGAATTTACCCGGAATTTACCATGAATGTACCATGAAATTACCTTGAATTTATACAGTAACTGAGATACAGCTTCATTACAGTGATAGTAATGGCGATTGAACCGTAAAGCAACATAGGGATATAGTAGTACATCTCCATAGCCACGACTATGGCTATGGCTATGGCTGTGGCTATGGCTATGGCTATGCATCTTCACAGCCATAGCCGTGCCTATGGCCATACGCCTTGAATGGTAATGATAGCCATGGGTGACACTGTGCCCATGCATCTTCAAGGTGATGGCCATGACTACAGCCTATGGGCGATAGCCACGCTTGCGGCCACAGCAATAGCCATGGCGATGGCCATGCATCTTCATAGACTAAGTGGCCATGCATCTTCATAGTGATAACCATGGCGATAGCCGTAGATCTTCATAATGAATAGCAATGTCTAGGGACATGCATCTTCATACTGATAGCCTTGGCTATGGTCAGTGAGCCATGTTTTTTTTTTTTTTTTTTTAATGTTGAAAAACCACTGCCTGGGACCCCTAGCAGAGCCCCCATGGATGCTCCTTTCTAGAGCCATGGTATGTTAACTTTATCCTAATCATTGCTATAGCTAAAGTTCTTTTAAACCACAAGTTCAGCCCAAGTTACTGTTCATCGGTTTTCATATACAAAAAAGTACCGCATATGAACATTGGTTATGGGTCAGTGGAGCAACGCATGCACATTAATTTATTGAAAAGTGTCGACTCGGTGAAGTTCTTTTGAACCAGCAGTTCATCTGAAGTTACTGTTCATCGGTTTTCATATACAAAAAAGTACCGCCACTGGCCCAGTGGAGCAATGCACGCACGCTAACATTAAATTACGCATGCACGTTAATTTAACGTAGGGCCGCAGAATATCTGTGGGAGGCCGACACTTGTCAATAATACAGAGGCAACCGCCTCCACCCGAACAGAACGCCCGGTCATTATCCACACATCTGGACTGAAAGTTGGTGCAGATACCGGGCGTTCTATTTGTTGAAGAGCGTAGTACAAGTACTATTCTGTTGAGTTTTCCAACGGCGGGTACCGGTGCCTTTTAGGCACGGCGAAATGCATTTTTTGGTTCGTCAATTTAACTTAGGATAGACTGGTGGTTTAAATCACCAGTACATCTGAAAAAGCAGATTGAGCCTGTCGGGAAATTTCGGAGGCCATGTGCATGTTTTCTTTCATCTGTTTTGCGTTTTTGTTTGGGTTTCCCACTCAAGCTCCAGTCTCCCACTTCGTGGCCGCAAGTCCATTAGTATGTGTTCGTTGGGCCTTATGGCGACACAATAACAACCATAAGACAGATAGAATTCAATTTGATTGAATTGATGATTTACTCACCGAACTGGTGCGCTTTTTTCCGATTTATTCGATTCAAATGAATCTGTGGTTCATGGCCTCCTATTTTTTAGGAGAGGCTCAATCGCCTTTTTCGGATGTACTGGTGGCTTAAGAATGGAAAATTTTGACTGCATTGCGCTTCTACCACTCTCATATGCAGTGATGGTAGGCCACTGGCCAGAAGAGGGAGGTGGGGAGAGTGAAGAGCGAACAGGGGGCCAAGGTGAGATAGGAGGGGGTAAGGGAGGGAGGGAGGGAGGGAGGGAGAGAGGGAGGGAGGGAGAGAGGGAGGTAGGATTCATCCTTGCCTAAGGAACCCTCTCATATTGGGCTGAGGACAGATGGTGTAGGCAAAGGGGCAAAGGGTCACGGAGGGTTACGGAGGGAGTTGACGTTCCACAGGAGGGCGGGGTGTGGGGTGCAGGGTGGAAGGGGACGAGGGGGAGGTAAGTAGTACATAGAAGAGGGGGGTAGGGAGAAGGTGGGAGAGCCAGTGATTGTTCTTGCCTGAGGCTTAGGAAGCATCTGTGCCTGGTTAAGGTCATGTGACCAGTCTCCACAATGAACGGTGATCGATGCGCTCGACGACGAGGCTGCCGACAATAGATTGTCGCGGAAGCTTTGGAACCATGCATCGCTTCTTGACGGCCTTATTGATGCTGATGTCAGATCAACCTGATCACACGGCGCTGATTTCTCAGAAATCGGATTTCATAGCTAGCAACTAACTACCGTCTTCACCCGAATATAACGGCCGGTAATTATCGCCGTATCTGGGCTGAAAGTTGTGCCAAATGCAGCTAGAATGACCGGGCGTTCTACTCCGGTGAAGACGGTAGTGACTGACCATCATCATGCAATTGGATTCAATTCACCGCGGAACAAATGATTCACTGTGACATTCCTCCGAAAACTCGTATCGAAAGCAATCATTACTGCAGTAAAAAATGTAGTTCACCACGTAATTTCCAAAATCTGAATCCAATGGTTCAACAAACAACTAATATTATATTAAATGAAAAAAAAAAAGAAGTTTGACACACCTCTTGGTTTTTTTCTAGCATACAACTTGATTCAATTTGCATCCAACGATTCCCGTCTCTTTACAATGCAATCGCATCCAATGGACCACCTCTCTTCCCTTTTTTTTTTTTTTTTTTTTTTTTTTGTTGCTCTAACTGCCACCTGGATCACTCCCCTCTGGATGCAATCGCATCCAATGGATCACTTCCCCCTGGATGTATCTGGTCTCCAGCGAAGTCCACATACATCCAGGGGGTCCAACGTTTTAAGAACGCCGGACCCTCAGGAGCAGCAAATTTGGACGAGTTTCAATTTCGTTCAAAAACAAAAAAAAATTCAAAAAAAGTCCATTTTGACGAAATGGCAGTTCTCTCATCTCTTGGAAGGTGTTACATGCTGCGCCTGCACACGGGCCCCATTTGAGGGGCCCCAAACAGCACGCGCCCTGGAGGCCCACGGCAGCCCTCCAGGCCCTAGGTAGCACACTAGTTAGTTAGGTTTAGTTTTACTCACCTTTTTGTGTGTGTGTGTGCTGTCTTACTTTGTCTGTTCAGGTGCCGTTTCGGACTTGCAGCCCCAAGGCCGGACCTTGGGACTGGGTACACCGGAGGCAGGCCCGAAACGAGGCCAGGCGCATTTTGGCGCCAGACCGGTAGGTGCAGACGTCGCTTCGGCCCTGCAGATCCCAAGGCGACGCCTTGGGCTAGGTGCACAGGTACGAGGCCATTTTTAGGCCAGGTGCATTTCTGCGCCTTGCTGCATCAGCAGCATGGTCTGGACATCCGGTAGGGACCCAGATCAGCTGGGCCGTTTCTCTGAGGCCAGCATCAGGTAGGCCCAGCCCGCCCAGCGCTACAAATAGCTGGGCAGCGGCTGGGCAAGGACAGCTCGAGTAGCTCACTTCTGGAGCGACACGCTGCTGGTTGGAGGCAGCGTTATTCTGCGCTAAGCTACGGAGTAGGGAGTAGCGGCGTAGGTAGTAGAGAGAGGTGGAGGCCTTACCTGCAAACAGCAAGCTTACCTGGCGCCATAGCCGGGCTCCACGCGGTACCTGCACACGACGACGACCACAGTCAGTACGGTGACAGCTACCTGCAGGTGAGATAGCAAGGAGGACGTCATCATCTTCTTCTTCCTCCTCCATCTCTCTCTCTCCCTTCTCCTTCTTCCTCCTTCCTCCTCTTTCTTATCTTCTTCTTCATCTACGAGAGTGAGAGAGGTTATCGGTAGGGAATACAGGCAGAGGTTATGCTGGGCACATCGCCCAGGATCTGATTCGACATTTCTGGGACAGACATTGATTGGACACTTGGCAAGGGACTATTTTTGGGACTTCGCTATCGCGATCTTGGTCTACTCCCTCGCCGCCTTCTCCTTTGTCTCGTCCCTCCCCCCCATCTCTCATCCGTGGTATCTCCCCATGTATGTGTGCGAAGGAGGGACCTTTCTTCTGTGATTGTGGTCCCTCCTCCCCTCCCACATGTGTGATGTATGATGGATGTCGGGTCAGTCTAGATCAGATCAGATCTTCTCTTTTAAGTCTTCCACTGCGCCACTTTGTGCCATCTTGTATGTATCGGAATGTACATTGCTTGTTGATGCTACGCTGACCTTGCATTGTCCATTTCAGTCCTTTCCATCACATTGCGGATCCTTGGCTCCCTACGCATTGTCCCATGACTCCCATTGGGCATGCGTCAGAAGGCCAGTGCAATCGCATTAAATCGCTTAATACATGAAGGTAGATCACTTTACCGGCAAATCGTATTCAATCCAATCCGATCCAATCCGACCCAAATCCGATCCAATCCAATCCAATCCAATCCAATCCAATTCAATTAGTGCTGCAGACACTCAGATCCAGCCACATTCCAGAGTGGGATTTCCGCCTTGGAAACCCTAAAAGCAGAGGAGGGGTGGGGGGAGTGGGAGCGGGGAGGGGGGGGGTGCAGCTGAAGGTGGCAGCTGCTCACCTGTGGGCAAAATGCCATAACAGCAGTGGCCAGCTGGCTGAACATAAGGGCTGCGCTCGCCCCCATGGAGTCACCAAGCATTATCACGCGCCTGTAACCTTTGACAGAAGCGCTGAGCTCCTTGAAGTAATAACTTTCAGGTCCAAACTGCTTGGCAGTCGCACCCCTGGTGCTGATCGCGCCCCCCTTCTTGCTCTGAGACTCTTGGTTTACAAGAGAGCAAGAAGAAGAGGGGTTGAAAAATAGACCATCTGGAGACGGAAGGGCTGCAGATGCGTGGTCGTCGTCGTCGTCGCACAGAAGAGATGCGGTGCCCCTTTTAGAGTGTGAGTACCAAGATCTTCGGGGATCAACCACATAGAGTGTATCGAAAGCAGCGGGGAAGCCCTTGGATTCCAGACAGTTTTTCACACGCTTCAGCAGACCGCCCCTGCTTCACCAGACATCACACCACGGCAAAGTCAATGCAGACACAGCAAAGTCAATGCACACACAGCAAAGTCAATGCACACACAGCAAAGTCAATGCACAGCGAAGTCAACGCAGACACATGCACAGCAAAGTCAATGCACACACAGCAAAATCAATGAAGGCACAGCAAAGTCAACGGAGGGACAGCAAAATGAACACAGGTACAGCAGAAGAAGGAACACGGGCGCAGCAACGTCAACACAGGCACATCAAAAGCACCAGTGGTTAACGGGGTAAACTGTTTTCATTGCTGAAATCATATTTTTTTTGGCCAAAATTTTAACTTCTTTCAAGTTTCAAGTTTTTTGTGATTTTTTTTTTTTTTGGCTGTTGGAAACTGGAATTGAGTCTGGTCACTGGTGACCATTTCTCAATGTTCTGAAGTGTTTTTGTCCATTGGAATTCTGTTGTGTCCATTTCCAAAAAACACAGGCACAGCAAAATGAGCACAGGCACAGCAAAATGAACACAGGTACAGCAAAAGGAACACAGGAGGAGCGGCGTCGACACAGGCACAGCGAAGACAGCTTTTTTCACACGCTTCCTCCGACTTCCCCTGGTTCACCGGACATCACACCACAGGCAAGTCTATGCAGGCACAGCAAAGTGCACACAGGTACAGCAAAAGGGACACAGGCACATCAGGGTCAACACAGGCACAGCAAAGTCAGCACAAGCACGGCAAAAGTCGCTACAGGGAAGCCAATACTGTCCTATACAGAACAATGGGAGGCTGTGACAAACCTTTTCACTGAATTTTCGACGACTCAGCAGGAGGCTGAGGCCTCAACCGTCCGAAGAGTACCCTAACCCTTGACGCTATAAGTGTAACCCGCCTTAAACAGCAGCCCCAGCCTTGTGGAGAATTGTTTGTCACCTACTTCGGAAAAGTCGGATGGACTCGGACCCAGCTCGTCGTCAATAAAATACATCAGCGGCCGGCGTCGCGTTTCGGCCTGAGCTCTGAAAGGGGCCCGCGACCGATGTACGGCATGTACTGGTGTTTTAAGCACAGTTGCAAGTGGGAAACCATCTAGTGCGGCCCCACTACTACTGATACCCTGAGAGCAAACCCTAAACCCTAAACCCTAAACCCTAAACCCTAAACCGTAACCCTGAAGGGTAAACAATGGGAGGCTGTGACAGATGGTTTAAACAATGGATGACAGTTATGAGATTTTCGACGACTCAGCAGGAGGTGGTAGACAGTCTCCACAGTCTGTAGAGTCCCCCCTACTCGATGACACTGTAAGTGATAATTTGTATTAACCCCAGTAACTCTTTCAGGTGCTAATCTGTATTAACCCCACTAACTCTTTCAGGTGCTAATCTGTATTAACCCCGGTAACTCTTC